GCTTTTGTGGGAAGGAAAAGTTGAGTTAAAAAGACATTGAAATGTGATAAAAGGACAGATAATTTCTTTGGATGGTTGGTTGACTTAGCAGTGGGAGAAAAGAGCTGGGAGAACATGTACTATGCAAACAGGATTAGGCCCTCAGCACAGCGCCTGGCACAGAGGCAGCGTCTCATGAACATGGTAGTAGTAAGAAGTAACAAACACTACTAAGAAACTGGTAAGAGGCATGTGATGGCAGGAAGAGCTGGGAACAAGAGAAGGTTCCTGAAGGTGCTGAAAGGGATGCCTTTGACATCACTTCCACCCGGCAGAGGGACCCACGGAAAATTCGGGACTTGTCTGGCTGAGGGGGCCAGGGAAGGCCCCAGGGTCTGGGGACTGGAGCTCATGGAGCCTGGAAATCAAATCTCAGGGCAGGAAGGGCCTCCAGGAAATCGTAAAGCCAGCCCTGGTCTCCTCCGCCACAGCCAGCTTCTAGCTGTTCTACAGTGTGGGATGTATGTACAGCAGTCAACTTTTTTTTTTTGCTGAAGAGGATTAGCCCTGGGGCCGGCTCCGTGGCATAGTGGTTAAGTGCTCGAGCTCTGCTGCCGGTGGCCCAGGTTCTGATCCTGGGAGCTCACCGATGCACCGCCTGTCAGGCCATGCTGTGGTGGCGTCCCATATAAAGTGGAGGAAGATCGGCACAGATGTTAGCCCAGGGCCAGTCTTCCTCAGCAAAAATCTAATCAGCTAATCTCTCTCTTTTTTTTTTTTTTTTGGTGAGGAAGATCAGCCCTGAGCTAACATCCATGCCAATCCTCCTCTATTTTGTATACCGGATGCTGCCACAGCGTGGCTTGATGTGTGGTGCGTAGGTCCACATCCGAGATCCAAATCTGCAAACCTGGGGCTGCCAAAGTAGAGTGTGCAAACTCAACCACTAGGCCACCGGGCCAGCCCACAGAGTCAACTTTTATTCGAAGAAGGTTTACTGTGGTTTGAGAGTGTTTAAAAACCACTGACCTAATCCTACACTCTCACTGCAGGGGGGGAAACTGAGGCTGGGAGTGAGGAAAGCCCCACACTGGTCAGCCAGGGGGGAGATCTGAGCTGCAGATCCTGGCTCAGGTCAAGCCTGTCGCTGTTACTGAGCACCCACTAATGGGCAAGGCACCTGACATGGGCCAGGGTCCCTTGGGGACAGGCTTGGGTGCTGTTTGTTGTTTTGGGCTCCTGGACAGGTGAACAGGGACCAGCTGGGCTAGTTAGAGTTCTGCTGGACTGCGCTGGCAGAGGGCAGCTCCCTCCCTAGAAACTGGCGATGAGGCCCCTCCCTGTTGGCCGGAGGTGGGGTCTCTGGGCAGGGTGGGGCCATCACTGGTTTTGTGTCGCTCACCCAGGGAAGAGGCAGGTTTCTCAGGAGTGTCCTAGAGGAATGGAGATGACTCATCTCTCCCCAGTCCAATATTTATCGATCTTTTATTCAATACTAGGCACTGTGCCAAATGGTTATAAGTGTGAACACGTTAAATTGTGTCACAATCTATGAAGTAGGCACTATTAGTAAGCCCGGTGTATGAAGGAGGAGACGGACGCAGGGAGAGGTTAAGTCACTCAGCTGGTGAGGGGTAAGGCCAGGATTTCAGCCCACAGGCTAACTTGAAAAAACAAAAAAACACGCTTTTTTATTAGAACAAAAATTGCAAGAATGATAGAGGATTTCTGTATGTTCTTTACCCAGATTCCCCAATTGTTAATATTTTATCACTTTTTCTTTATACTCCTCCATCTATCCATCTGTCTGTCTATCTATCTATCTATCTATCTATCCATCTATCATCTTGTTCTGAACCATTTGAGAGTAAATTGTAGACACGATGCCCTTTACCTCTAAATACTCCAGTGTGCATTTCCTAAAATCAAGGACATTCTCTTACATGACCACAGAACAATGACAAAAATCAGGAAATTAATATCAATATGATATTATTTAATCTACAGACTGTATTCAGATTTTACCAGTTATCTTAATAATGACCTTACAACAAAGGAAAATCCTGGATCACACATTGTATTCAGTCATCGTATCTCCTCAGACTGCTCTATTATGGACCAGTTCCCGGTCTTTCTTTGACTTTCATGAGCTTGTCATTTTTCAAGCATGCAGTCCAGTTGTTTTATAGAATTTCTCTCAGTTTAGGTTTGTCTGATGTTTCCTCCCAATTAGACTCATTGTATGAGTTTTTGGCAGGAATACTGCAGAAGTGATGCTGTGTCCTTCTCAGTGTATCATTTAGGAGATACACATGCCAATTTGTCCCATTACTGGTGATATTAATTAACTTTGATCACTTAGTGAAGGTGGTATCTGCCAGGTTTCTCCACTGTAGAGTTACTGTCTTTCCATTTGTAATTAATAATTGTCTATGGGGCAATACTTAGAGACTATGTGAATATCATGTTTCTCATCAAATTTTTGTGTCTGTTGATGATTCTCATTGGAATCCATTATTACTGTGGTGGTTGCCTAATGGTCATTTTCTAACTGTATCATTCCTTCTACCATAAGGAGGACCTTTCCCTTCTCCTTATTTGTTTATTTATTCATTCCTATTAGTATGGACTCATGGAATCTTCTCTTATTCAATAGGTTATAATCCATCAGTACTGTTACTTCCTTTGATGCTCAAATTGTCCCAGATTTGGGCAGTAGGAACCCCCTTCAAGTCAGAGAGCTCCCATTTTTAAATATGACATCACACCATGTCCCTTGACCTTGACCAGAAAGGGAGCCACGTGTGTGGGGAGCAGGCCCTGCTGGGTGGATGCTGAAGCGCTGCCCCCTAATGCGTCAGCCTGGGGATGGGAGCAAAGGCCTAGGAGTTAGGCAGCATGGCGTCCAGGGGTGTCGTGCAGGTCCGCTGGGGACTCATTCACTGGTTGAGTACCTATTATGGCCTCAGCTCTTGAGAAGCTCATAGAAGATGGGGGAAGAGAAGTCCAACAATCACAATTATGCAGTTTCTAAAATCAAGAACTTTTGTATCCCAAGAGGTAACAGGAGTGACTCCCTTAGAGATGTAAATGTAGGGCAAGCGGGCAATGTTAGGGGGGATTGTTTGAGTGTAGACAGAGCTGCCTCAACGCTTGGTCACTGGGAAGCTAGGGGGCCAATCTGCATATGAAACCCAAGGCCTTTGGGAGCTAAGGGACAGATGTTACAATCCCAGGGGCACCAAGGCCCAGAGGCAGGAAAGCATACGAGGACTCTGAAATCATGTTACATTATATTAAGGGCAGGGGAGCCTTGCCTGTGACCAGGGTGCCACATGAAGACCTCCTAGTTGGGGAGGTCCTATGCCCCACGCAGTAAAATCAGGAAGGTGCTGTGATGACAGCCTCACATGAGATGGCTCTTGGAGTGAAGGCAGGCATGTCAGGCAGTGGAACAGCATGAGCAAAGGAAAGGGAGAATAAACTGCCCCCATTGTGCCCCCAAAGTCACCTCTTTTGGATGGGGCTCCAAGCACCGAACGCATTGCTCACATTTATGCTGGGCCCCACCTAGTTGAGCATAGCTCCAAACATCTGGACCAGGAATCAGTCAGATCTGGATTCAAATTCCAGTTCTTGTACTTCTTAGCCTGGTGACTTTGGAAAGTCACTTTACCTCTGTGAGCCTCTACTCATTTATTTCCTCCACGAGTATTTACAGAGGGCTTACTACGTGCCGAGCACTGTTCTAGGCACAGGACATACAGTACTGACCGAGGTAGACAAGGGTCTACCCTCATGAAACTTACATTCTGGGTGGGGAAGACAGACACTAAATAGTAAGCAAATACATAAACAAGATAATACCCTATGGAGATATTAAGGTAATATAAAAACAAATGTCAGAGGTGGGGGCTCCTTTAGCCACGGGGTCAGGAAAGGCCTCCCTGAGGCAGTGACATCTGAGCTGACCTGACAGATGAGAAAAAGCCAGGCAATGAACGGAAGAGGACACAGCCAGTGCAAAGGACCTGCAGCAGGAAGGAGCTTGGTGTGTTTGTGGAACCATAAGAAGGTCAGCGTCGCTGAAGAGGAGTAGGTGACAGGTGAAGAGTGGTAGGAGGTGAGGCTGGAGGGTTGGATAGAAGCCAGATGGCTTAGGGCCCTGTAGGCCAAAGGGCAGATTATAGTTTATATTCTACATGTGAAGGGAAGCCAGAGAGGGTGCTAAGCCAGAGAGAGGGTGGGAGTGTGTGAAACAACCCGGTGTTTGCTTTGAGAACCCTGGTGTGTGAAGAAAGCCTTTAGAGGCAAAGTGGGGAGGCGATCAGGGGGCTGCTGCCGTTGTCCAGGTAAGTTGATGGCGCCTGGACTAGGCGGTAGGACTGGGGGTCGGGGGAAGTGGTCCAGCGCAGCATGGTGTTGGAGGTAGAGCCAGCGTGACTCATGGTGAGGGGAGGAAGGCAGAAGGAGCGACGGCGCGAGGCTCCTAGATTTGGGCTTGAACAACTGAGACAGAGGAGACTGGGCACGGGAGCTGAGTTAGGGTGGACGATCAGGAGCTGGATTTTGGCCGTGGAGTGTGTGCAGTCCCCCCCTCGCACCTACGTGGAGGCGCGGAGCTGATACTCGAATGGAGTCTGGAAGTCAGAGAAGCTGTTCGCTCTGGAAATACAGATTTGGGGCTCATGGGCATATAGATGGCATTTAAAACCACGGGACTGGATGAGATCATCAAGGCAGAGGGTGTAGGACGAAAGGAGAAGAGGCCCGGGACTGTCGTCTGTAAAATGAGCCAAACGACATCTCCACCCACGCGGCTCTCGCGAGGTGTCACGTGAACGCACCCAGCGGGCGCTGGAAAAGGGGCTGAGAACCTCCGCGGCGCCGAGGGGCGGGGCCGTCTGTGGGCGGGGCCTACCGGGGGCGGGGCTGCGGATCCGGGAGGCCGCTCCGGGCCGGTGGGCGGCCGGAACGGTGACGTCACCGCATGACTGGGTTTTTATGAATGAAAGGAATCCTGTGAGTGAGTAATTCCGGGAAGCTCGCCTTACAACTCGGCGCGGCCCCCCGCGCCGCCCGCCCCACAACAAAACTTGCCGCGCTCCCGGGAGCCCGGCTCCGAGAGACCTGCGGTCGGGACCGGAGGGGAGACGGGCCGGAGCGCGGGCCGGGACAGCAGCCGGACGGCGGCGGGACCCGCGCGTGCCAGGGGCGCGAGGCGAGGCGGGCCGAGAGGCGGGTGAGGGTCGCGGGGCCGGGACGGGGACGGCGCGGGCCCCCGACGCTCAGGGTCTGCGCGCCCCGGGAGGCCCTGGGGCGGGGCGCGGAGGCCGCTCCGTCGGTGCTCCCGTGTGTCCATCGCCTGGACGGCTGGTGGGGGGTGTTGGGGGCAGAGGTCCGGCGACCGAGACGGGGCCGAGGCAGGCGTGGCGGGGTGCGGGGGTGATGCGGGCGCGGGCCGCGGGGCAGCGGAGCCGGGCAGAAGGGGCAGCGCAGGCGGGCAAGCGGCAGTCCGCCCAGGAGGGCGGGGGGCGGTGTGCACGTACGTGACTCGGTGAGAACAGTCCCTGGCCCGGAGCCCGCGGGCCGTGCGTGCGCGGTTTGTTTACGTCGGAGGGCGGGCGGGCGTGTGTGTGCCCTGGCGGGCGTCCGGGTGTCCTGCCCGGTGCGTGCGTGCGGGGTCTCTTGGAGAGAGAGAGAGAGAGAGAGTGAGTGAGTGAGTGAGTGTGTGTGTGTGTGTGTGTGTGTGTCCACCCGCGCACTCTCAGGCCTGTGAAGATCCTGGAGTGTGTGTGTCCGCGTGTCTGTGTGTGTGTGTGTCCACCCACGCGCTCCCAGGCTGGTGAAGACCCTGGAGTGTGTGTGTGTGTCTGTGTGTGCATGCTCTGGGCATCTCAGAGTGTGTGTGTGTGTGTGTGTGTGTCCACCCGCGCACTCCCAGGCCTGTGAAGACCCTGGAGTGTGTGTGTCCGTTTGTGTGTCCACCCACACGCTCCCAGGCTGGTGAAGACCCTGGAGGGTGTGTGTGTGTGTCTGCGTGTCTGTGTGTGTCCGTGTGTTTGTCCGTGTGTGCGTGCTCTGGGCATCTCAGAGAGTGTGTGTGTGTGTGTGTGTGTGTGTGTCTGCCCGCGCGCTCCCAGGCCAGTGGAGCCCCTGGGGTCTGCGTACTAGCGGTGCGTACCTCGGAGGCCGTGTTCCCACATGAGTAAAGGCGGAATAAGGACCCGAGTGAGGGAAGCAGCCCGGTCGGTGGTCACACGGGGTCCGGGAATTCTCGCCTGGGCTGTCCCCTTCTCACCAGCCAGCTGCGGCCAGTCCCCCGCTCTCCCTGGAGTTTCCCAGGGCCGTGGCCATGTGACTGTGGTGTTTGTCCCCGCGCCCAGAGCCGGCGCCTGCAGCACAGGGTGGGGCGAAGCATCAAAGACCCAGCTGGGCTGGGGGGTGAGGTGAGGGGGCCACCCCTCACCCCAGCACCCTGGTGGGTCTGGCAACAAAGTGAGCTGGCGCCCAGGTCCTTGTCCCTAGGTTTGGAGGCCGCCTGGGGGAGGCGGACCCTGGGCACTCTTCTTCATCCCCAGGGTTGCCCATCCCCTCAGTCTCAGGAGGAACAGGAAGGGCCAGAAAACCCACAGCAAAGGTGGGAGGTAGGAAGCGATCCCAGGCTTCCTCTCCTTGGTGGCTGCTCTGGCTGGCCTGGGTTCTGGAGGTTGTACCTGTTGGGTCTGGGAGGGTGAGACCAGGAGGATGGGGTGGAGCTGGTTTCTGCCCTCCTGGTGGTTTCAGTTCACGGGTGTGACTAGTCAGACAGACCTATCGATCGCCAGACCTGAGGAGCTAGTTGAGGGCCTGGCCAGCCAGAGGACCCAGGGTCCTCACCCTGGGCCAGGTGTGGTCCACAGGCAGTGGGCACGTGGCCTTGGTGTATGAAGGGTTAATAGGTGAGGGGTGGGGCCCTGACCTAGCCCCCCTTCACTTCAGTTCTGCGGGAAGCTTCCATTTAGCCCAGTAGCCTGAGGGGTGGGCTGGGGCCAGGGATTCTGTGTCCTGTTCTGCCCTCCCCCTCCTCCCACCCAGGAGGGAGGGAGCTGAGCTTGCTGGAGTGAGGAACTGGAAATCTCTTAACTGTAAACCTCTGAGCCCTGGTGAGCCCTGCTGCCACAGCTGGGAACCTCAGTGTCCCCAGGTGCAGCAGGAACTAGGTGACATGGGGGGGCAGGATGGGGGTGAAATGGAGGAGGTATGGCAGCCTCCACACACAGCCTATTTTCCAAGGGAACTGTAGGAGAGAAAGCAGAGCCAACAGCCCCAGGCTGAGGCCAGGGATGTCCAGGAATATGTGGGGTTCGAGTAAGGGAGGTGGCCACAGGAGCACGGGACACAGGCAGACCCAGCCTCAAAGCTGGGCAGGAAACATCCCTGAGTTGGGCCAGGGGTCAGGGGACGAGGGGAAGTGGCTGGTTGACTCAGGCACAGATGGAAAGCTGGCACTGACAATTTTAACCTCCCATTGAATCACCCCTGGGCCTTCACTAGGGCCTGGGACCCAATGTGGGCTCCCTTGGCCCCTGGGCCTCCCTCAGTCCTGATGCTTTTAGCCTGCATTGCCATGGAGCCCATCATGGGCCAGATGCCAGGGATGAGATGGGGAACAAACCAGATCCAGAGCCTGCCCTCTGGGAGCTTACAGTTGCAGAGGGGAGACAAAATTGAAGGAAGAACCACCAAACTCAGTGCAAAACCACAGCTGAGATGGGTGGTATGAGGGGGTCACTGTGGTTTGCAAGTATAGAACAGGGCTCTGACTTAGCCAGGGCAATCAAGGAAGGCTTCCCAGAAGAGGTGACCACTGAGCCAGGTTGTCAGATGGATTGATGATCGTCTGTGAAGCCCTTGAAGGCAGGGGCTGTGATTCATCTTTGGGTCATCGGGGCCCAGCCTTGAGCCTGGCACAAAGTAGGTACTTCTTGGATGTTTACTGATTGAATGAATGAATGAGCACTGGGTCCATGTCCTGGAAGAGCTTCACAATACATGGAGACAAAGGCCTGGGAACCCAGGGAAGCAAGAAGCCTGGGCATGGGCTGTCGGATTTTGAAGCAGTCTCCCAAACTCGAGCAGATCCTACAGGACCCAGGTGACATACTCCCTCACACACACACAAACACAGACCCCGTTTGTCCCTTTGGGAAATATGCAGGGACAGTAAACTCTACAGTTTACTATCTGTTATTATTTGTTGTTAGCATGAGGATCCTGGGAGAGAGAGGGGAGAGAACATGGTGGAGGCCTGAAGGCCCCACAGTGTGGGCTGGAGGGGAGGGTGGCATCGCAGGGTTTTGAAATGGGCCAAACATGGTCAGGTTTGTAGGCTTGTGTCAGTATTGATCCCTCTGACAGCTCCTAGGGGAGGGTAGATGGTGGGGTCAGAGGTGGAAGCAGGCAAGAGTGGAGGCCAGTGCGGAGGCGGCTGTGGTGATGGTTCAGCTGAAAGAGACGTCCCTGCCTGTGCAGGTAAAGCGGGGGGATGGTCAAGGCTGATGGTCTCAGAGTTTGTGTTATCATGCCTCTGCCTCCAGGAAGCCTTCACTGATTTCCTTTCCCATCCTCCAGGGCCTCTGCTCTGCTGGTGGTCTTGAAGCACCATTCCAGGCCAGAATCTGACACTCTAAACCCCAAAATTGTCTGTGATAGAAGATACCTTAGGCTTGGTGGAGGTTTGGGAAACAGGCCCCGACAGAGGGAGGACGTATCTGAAGTCACACAGCATGGATGAGTGGGTGGCAGGACGGGAGCTGGAACCCCAGGCTCCTGCTTCCCTGTGGTGCTGGGTTCTCCCAGCTTTGCCCCCCTTCCAGAGGGAGGAGGCTGCACCAGTGCCGACTGCCAAGGCCCAGGAAAACACATTTTTTCCCTCTGTCCTCACAGAGGAAGTAAATGGCTGAGCAGCCAGAGAGGAGCCCATGCTGGCGGGTGGGCCCTCTAAGGATGTCTCTGGAGTGGACTGGGGGGGCAGGGAGCGGGATGTAGGAGGGCCTGTGGCTGCTGGCTGGGCGAGGCAGCTGTTCCTCCCCCAAGAGTCAGCTCATTCTCTAGGCCTCCAAAAGAACGTAGGGACCTGCAGACCCTGGAGGCCCACTGGCCTCGGTGGCAAGAAGGGAAGAAGCAGGGCGGGGGGGCTGGGGGCAGTGTGGTGGCCGGCCCTGCAGAAAGAGCCCTGAGGTGGGGGTCCGCACTCCTGGGTTCCCGCCCGCCACTGCCGCCAAACAGCTGCTTGGTTGCCTCGGTTATCGAGCAAGGAGGTTGGACCAGCTGCTGTCTCGGGCCCAAGGTCCACCAGCCTGGCCAAGGCAGCCCGGAGGAGGACCCCGGCCCCTTGGCTTACAGCCCAGCAGCCCCCGGCCTGGGGCTGGAGCCTGGAAACCTGAAGTTTTCAGAAAGTTCTCCCTCTTGTGGATTTCCCTCTGTGACTGCCTGACTTTGCGGAGCGAGGACATTCCTGGGCGAACATGGGTGCCTCCGCTGACGTCCAGGCTGCGGCTGAGAGGCCGAGGCTGGAGGAAGAGGAGAGAGAGGAAGGAGGGACAAGCAGGTCCAAAGCCACCTGAGGGCCTAAAAGTACTTTGAGTCCAGCCAGCTGAGGGGGTGGGACCTTCAGCCACTAGATAGGATATGGGATGGCTGACAGTTTCCATCTCTTGCGCCTACTCTGGAGGGAGGGCCGTGTTGAGAAGGATTCTGAGGTTGTAAAAAGCTCAGTGGAAAACCGTGCTGTGTTGAGAAGGATTCCGAGGCTGTGTCCAACCGCAGTGGGAAAAGTGCTGTGACTGGTGAGCCATGTCTGTGTTGGGAGTGGCAGGAGGGACGATGTGAGGCAGGCCGACCATCTGCCACTTCTGATCTTCTCTAAGCCTCTGGTAATTTACACACTAACTCTATGATGATCGTCCCCACTTGACAAGTGAGGAAACTGAGTCCCAGAGAGGAAAAAGGACTCGTCCAAGGGGCCAGGCCACGCCTCCAAGGTTCTGTGTCAGCCACAGCACCCAGTGCTCAGCACCCAGCGGCCAGCAGGTCTCGGTTAACCTATGTCGAGAGGGGCTTCCCCTCTCCCGTCAGGTCTCTCTGTGTAGCCCAGACTGCCTGGGCATCACCTAACACCCCAGCTCCCCGAACAGCTGGCAGGGGGCCCTGGACAGCTGTATGTCATTTGCATAGCCCTAGGAGACCCGGCACGAATGCTGGCACAACAGAGCTATGGAGACTGGAAATTCCAGCCTCCTCTTCACAGGGGTGGGCAAATGGGGCCCAGAGAGGGTGCCCTGTGAGGGCCACATTGGGAGGGGGCACGTGGCTCAGTATGGCCTCGGTCCTGGGCTCCACCCCCTGTTAGTTGCGTGACCCTGCCCTACTTTATTGACCTCTCTGAGCATTACCTCGAAGAGTTACCAGGAGGACCAGGGTGATGACCGTGTGAAAGGGATTAGGATTCAGTCCTGGGCCTTTATAGGTGTTTAGAATTCCTTCCAATTTGGGAGGAGGCAGCCACTCCCCTGCTGTGGGACTTCAGGCAAGAGAGAACCCTCTCTGAGCCTCCACCTCCCCTTGGGTAAAATGAGGAGGTGGGGCCAGATGGTCTCTAAGGGCCTTTCCCCTGTGACCCCGGCCAGCTGGGAGATGCTGAGTCAAGGCGAGGTCCCGGTGACTGCTGTAGGCCTGGCCCCTCCTGGACAGCCTCAGCAGTTCTGATAACCTCCCAGGTGCTCACTGACCTCTATAGCTTATACCACTTGGTTCCCCCAAAACCCTGCGAGGCTGGCATTGTTCCGATCCTACACATGGGAAAGTGGAGACCCAGAGAGGTCGAGTGGCTTGCCTAAGGTCACACAGCCTGGAGAAAACAGAGATGGGACCCAGACCCAGGCTTGACTCTTAATCCAGTGCTCCTCTCGTTTTCCATATCCCGCCTGGGAGCCAAGCATCGTGAGGATAGAATCCCTCCTGCACCCTTCCCACCCTCCTGGCGTCTGTGTGCCACCTGTGTGCAGGTGGACAGGAGGAAGATCTGGAGACATGGCCAGGGGTTATTCTCTCGACAGTTACTCTCTCAATGGGCTTGGCACTTGGTTCAGACACTGACAAGCTGGGTGACAGACAGGGTCAGAGACTCCACCCACCTACCCCTCATCAGTGCCTGCTCCCTGCCAGGCCCTGTGCTGGCACCTCAGCACCCAGAGCTGCTCCGCCTGGTTCCTGCCGGTAGAGCTCCCTGTCTGGTGGGGAGACAAGGAAACAGCACGTTACAACACAGGGGTTGAAGGGCTGGAGTGGGCGGTGCCAACAAGTTCTGGGGTCAGGGAGGGCTTCCTGGAGGAGGAGTGTCTGCACCCAGGGCAGAAGGATGAGTAGGAGTCTGCCAAATAAAGTGGGGGGAGAAGCGTCACAGGGCGTGGGGTGGCCCAGAAGCAAGAAAGCATGGGGTGAGAGGAAGTGAAAGAAATTCCATGTGGTTGGTGTGCGGAGTGGAGGTGGGCAGTGGTGGGAAATGAGCCTGGGTGCCACTCGGGTGGGCTTGGACTCTGTCCCCAGGAGAGTAGGGAGCCATGGAAGGTTTGCATCTGAGTGGTGACATGGGCAGAATCACCCAGTGGAGAGATCCTCGGGTTGCTGTGCAGAGGATGAGCAGGCTGGGACCTCCCCAGGGGTGTGTGTTGGGGGCAGGTGGCCATTTTGGAGGCCTGTAGTGAAGGGTAGGATTGGTGGGGGTGCTGTATGAGGGTCCCCAGGTGGTGTCTGTGCAAGATGAGGGTCCTGACTTGGGACTTTCTGGGCCTCAGTTTCCCCCAGCTATACCACAAGAAGCCTGGGTGGCTCTGAAGACCCTCCCAGCCCAAGGGGCGGGGCAGCTGCCACTGTCAGGGGATCTCTTGAAGTGCCAGCTTCCCTGTCCTGTCCCAGTCCTCGCTTCCCTCTGGGGTGTCAGACCCCTGGCTGTGTGGGCTGGGAGGAGCTGGGGCTTCCTGAGAAGCCTGGACTGTCCCCACCTCGGCCTGAGTCACACTGAAAACTCAAATGCCTTTACTTAAGCAACCAGCATGTGCTGGGCACCACTCTAAGCACTGGGGACACAGCAGGGGACAAGACAGGCTCTCTGCTGTGATGAGCTGGCATTCTAATGGGAGACAGACACCGAACAAATACATAAAATATGTGTGGGTAATAATAATTATATATAGTGAGAGGTGCTACAGAGGAACATGAGGTCGGGAAGGGAGACAGGGTGTGTGTGCGTGTGTGTGTGTGTGTGTGTGTGTATGTGTGTACGTGTGTGTGTGTATCAAGGGTTGGGAATTCTAAATCAAGTAAGAACATGAGACTTGAAGAGAGACCTGAAGGAAGTGAGGATGGAAACACTGCGGCTATCTAGGGGAAGAGAATGCCCGGCAGGGGGAACAGCCAGTGCAAAGGCCCTGGGGAGGAGTGCACTGGGTGTTTGAGGAACAGCAGGGAGGTGCGTGTGGCTGGAGCCCAGTGAGTTGGGGGATGGGGGGGAGCTAAGCAGGAGGTAGTGGAGAGGCGTGTGCTAGGGCCATATCATGCAGCGCCTTGTGGGCCATTGTGATGACTTTGCCTTTATATATAGTAAGATGCCTTTATATATAGTGCCTTTAATCCGAGTGAGATGGGAGCCATGGGAGGGTCCTAAGAGAGGAGGAACATGATTTGACTTAAAGGGGTGGTGGCGAGGAGCAAGTGGAGCAGGGCAGGAAGATGCCCTGTGGCCTGAGACGCGGCATCCGATCGATTCTCATTAGCAACCCCCTAACTGATAGACAGCAGCGGGGGTAAACCGGTCCAGACCCTGGTTCCCGCAGCTGTGTGTGGGGCCAGCCTCACAGCCTCCGCTCACCCTCTGGCACCTTCTGGCAGGCCCCAGGTGTCTCTCAGAGACACTGTGGAGAAAGGGAAAGTGCACAGACTCTGGCATCAGACACACTGGGACCTTTCAGAGGTTGTCCCACTGACTAGCTGTGGGATTCTGACAGATCAGTTAACCTCTCTGTGCCTCAGTTTCCCCATGGGTGACACAAGGTGGCTGTGTGTTCGCCACCACCCCTCCCCACGGGGATCACCAGCCGGGAACTCAGCCCAACGGTGAACAGGCAGAATCAGATCCACTGGGGCAGGAGACTGCTGCTTTCGAGGGGGCTTTGGGAGACAGGCCCCTTCAGCCCACAGCAATGACCACTGGCCCCTAGCGTGTGCCCTCTACGTCTCCCCATTGTCAAGCACATGTCTGGCAAATAGTAGATGCTCAATACATATTTGTGGAATGAACCTGGGGCTTTCAGGCCCGTGGGGGAGGCACTGATGGCTGGTGGGCCCCCATCAATCTAGGTGTGGCTGTCCTGTCTGCCCAGGGCAGTCCCCAGGTACGGGAAGCTTTCCCAAACAGGTGTGGATGAGGGAGGCTTGGGCAGGGGAGGGGAGGGACTGGTTACGCTGTATTTTGATGGGGTGCTGGCGGGACTCCGTGAAAACTCATTGACCTAGTACACATACTTTTTGTGCACTTTTCTGTAGATTATACCTTAATGAAAAGTTAAAAAAAAAAGTCAAATACACATGTCTGGGCCCCCATGTGGAAGAATGGCTGAGGAGAGGGGACCTCTTCATTTGGTGCGCATTTATTGAGCACCTTCTGTGTGCCAGGGACTGACTTAGGTACACTGATGGAATGGAAGGATAGACAAGGCCTCGGTCCTCACGGGCTGACATTTCGGTGGAGGAGGGGTGGCAGGGAGAGACAGACCATACACAAGTAACCACCCATAAATAATTGCAGAAGTGGTGACTGTTGTGAGGGTTAGTAAATGGGGTTATGTGATATGGCACAAGGACTTCTTTGAAGAGGTGGCATTGGGCAAAGACCTAAATGATGAAGAGTTGCTATGGGAAGAGAAAAGGGAAGAGACCAGTAAAGAGAACAGCAAGTGCAAAGGCCTTGAGGCTGGAATGAGCCATTCAAGGAGGGCACTGTGGCTGGACCACTGGGACAGAGGAAAGTGATATGAATGAATTCCAAGACAGCAAGGGCCCTGAATGCCAAGCTAGTGAGTTTGGATTTTATTCTAAGTGGAAAAAAAAGTGACCTTGGCCTCTTCTCTCCCCTAGGTCTCAGTCCAGAGGGCACCTTCTGCAAATATGTCTGTGGATCCCTTATCCAGCAAAGCCCTGAAGGTGAGGTGGCAGCCCCTGTGGTCCCCAGTCCTCCCCCTCCCTCCCTGCCCTGGCCAAGCTCCCCATCCCAAATTCCCCTTCACTTCCTGGAATCCCCAAGGGTGGTTCAGCAGGCACCAGGCGTTCATGAGACCACAGGAAGGGCCCTGGGCTGGGAACCAGGAGGCCAGGGCTCTGATCGTAGGCTGTGTGCCCCTGGGCAGGTCACTCCCCTCCCTGGACCTGCTTCCCCATGGGGACAATGCCCACTGGGCTGCAGGACTTCAGAGGTGCTCTCCTGGGTTTCTCTGGCTGAGTCCAGGCCAAGCGCTGGGTTAGAATTCGGGCTGGACCCTGGGGTGGCTCCTTTTGTGTTCAGATCCTGATTTGGCTCGATTTTCCCTTTCCGGATTCCTGCCCCTCTTTGGGGTCTTGGAGCAAGTCCAGCCCCCACCTCAGTGCCTATGGCGGTGAAGGGGGAGCACTAGGGGTGGAGGGGGAGCCGTCCCCAGCGCCTGCTGCGCACCAGGCCCAGGGCTCAGGGTCCACACGCAAGAGTGCAACCCTGGGCCTCAGTTTCCCCATGCGCCCCACGTGCCGCCGCAGATCAAGCGCGAGCTGAGCGAGAACACGCCGCACCTGTCGGACGAGGCGCTGATGGGGCTCTCGGTGCGCGAGCTGAACCGGCACCTGCGCGGGCTCTCGGCCGAGGAGGTGACGCGGCTCAAGCAGCGGCGCCGCACGCTCAAGAACCGCGGGTACGCGGCCAGCTGCCGCGTGAAGCGCGTGTGCCAGAAGGAGGAGCTGCAGAAGCAGAAGTCGGAGCTGGAGCGCGAGGTGGACAAGCTGGCGCGCGAGAACGCCGCCATGCGCCTGGAGCTCGACGCGCTGCGCGGCAAGTGCGAGGCGCTGCAGGGCTTCGCGCGCTCGGTGGCCGCCGCCCGCGGGCCCTCCGCGCTCGTGGCGCC